AGAAGAAGAAGAAGAAGAAGATGAAGAAGAAGAAGAGGAGGAGAAAGAAAACGAGTGGGGGACGAGGGGAAGACGAAGGGAAGACGAAGAAGACGAGAGGAGGAGAAGGAGGAGAGAAGAAGAAGAAGAAGAAGAAGAAGAAGAAGAAGAAGAAGAAGAAGAAGAAGAAGAAGAAGAAGAAGAAGAAGTCGTTACCTGCAACAGTTACCCTAGCAGCAGGGCCTTCGTCTGCCCGTCCAACACAACCCTAAACGATCACGACAGGAAGAAGAAGAAGAAGAAGGAGGAGAAGAAGAAGAAGAAGAAGAAGAACGGCGCCTTCGTCGTCGGGGTCTTCGTTGTAGCAGCAGCAGCAAGGCAGTCGGGGCCTTCGTCATAGCAGGAGCAGCAGGACAGCCGGGCCCGTCGTCGTAGCAGCAGCAGCAGACAGTCGGGGCCTTCGTCATAGCAGCTGCAGCAGTACTTCTCGATGGTGATGTCGACGGGCGACGGGCGACGGCGCAGCAGGACGGCGCAGGAGGAACTTCGATCGTGCTGGGGGGACCGAGTGGCAGACCACCCCAGCCGATCCCATGTTTGAAAGCGGGGATGTTTGGTGCCTAGATCAACCGGCTCTGCGGCCGTTGATCATGGCGGATCGATGGCCAGATAGCAGTCAGAAAGTTTTTCAAAATCCCGCAGGCCTACCGGGCCCGACGGGTCGGTTTTTCGGGCCGGTCGGACCCGGTAGGCCTGCGGGAGGCCAAAAGCAGCGAAACGGGGGTCTGAAACCCCCGAACAGGTCATTGCGCTGGGGGGGGCCGGCCCCCAACCGGGTGCCCTGCCCGGCCAGACCGCCCAGGACCTCCCCCGGGCCTCCTCCCGTCAGCCGGGCGCCCGATCCCCACTCAGTTGATTACTATGATTTTTATTTGTTTATGATTAGTCCTCAATAAGTTCAACTCTTTATCCTTTGACCTCAGCATTTATTTCTGTGTTTGAACTTTCTTTCTTCTTTTTCTTTTTTTCCTTTTTTTTCCTGGCATTTCAGTGTTTCACAGTTTTTCCACGTTTGTGACTGAAATGGATCAACGATGGGTTTGAACTCTGAACGCTGAACGCTGAACGCTGAATCGGCACCCGTATCTTTTCCATGGTTCATGACCGGGTGGTGATCTCTGCTCGTTCTGCAGATGCAGGTTGTCAAGATCGTGAAGACGACACTTTCCACTTCCACAGCGGGCAGCTGTCCAGAGGCAGCGTCACAGGATGAGATCGGTGAGTAGCAGTCGAGCATACAACAATCTTTTCTGTCTTGTTTTGGTTTCTGGAAAAATTGTTGAGATGCCCCTAAAAGCTTGGGTATTTCGTCAGATACCCCTAAAAACACAGGTGTACGCTGAAATGCCCCAAACTTCCCGCTCATTGGCAACTTTGCCATATGCCCCTGGCCCTGGGCTGCAGGGTCCAACGGCCAGAAATACTGGGGCATATAGACATGTTAGCCAGGGCCCGGTAGGGGTATATGCAAAAGATGACAGGTCCAATTGGTGACTGGGATGTTTGACAAAGTTTCACTACTGTCATAGGGGCATTTCGCCATGCCCATGCCTTTTAAGGGTATCTGATGAAATACCCCAACTTTCAGGGGCATTTCAACAATTTTCCCTTGATTTCTTCACTTTTCTTTCTTTTGTATTTCGTTTCTTTCTTTTGGGCCCTTGCTGTTCTGTATTCGAACACTCTTTTCCCTTCTTCATACAAGTGGAAGTGAGGATTATAAGGCAAGAAAAAGGGGGGGGGGGGGGGAGAGAGAGAGAGAGAGAGAGAGAGAGAGAGAGAGAGGCCTTAACCTGTGGAGAGATCAGTTACCCTAATAATGCATACCTGCTGGTGACATCACAACTAAGGGTGGAGACAGCGTCTATTTCAGAAGGCCAGCATTGTGATAAAGAGAGTCGATATGGGTTGCACTGACCTGGATGGGAGCTTATCCAGCTATGGCAGCCATAGCTGCTGGGAGAGACGGCCAGCACCAGAGAGAAATCAACTTCTTAGAGTGTGGCCTTGACTTCTGGCAGCGTGGTCTGGGAGTGGAGTGGAGGTTGCCAGTAGCAGATGATAGGGTATTAGGGATGAGATTAGGAGGTGGCGATTGAGAGGACGAAGACCTGGAGTAGCAGTGGGGGAAGAAGACTTGGAAGTATGGATGCTACATTCTGGAGTCATTCGGAGTGGATGATGCAGAAAGGCGATGCTGTGGCCGCCGAAAGGCTTCTGCAGTTTTCTATTGTTTGGCACATTATGTCCTCCACGAGAGTAAAGTGCAAGGAATATGAGGGAGAGCGATAGACAGAAATCCAAATTGCAAAATCACGAAGTAGCCCGGTTCTCATGTATCAAGCAGAGAGCACAATGCACCAAGATACCATCCAAATAAGAGCAATACAATGAACTCGAATGTCAATGCCGACGCTCTCTGGCCACACCAACATAGTATCCAATGTCGCTCCTACTGTCTGGCACCCAGTGCCCAGCCTACACTACTCAGGTTACCTCGCCTATCTACGTTCATGCAACAGGAGCACATCGAAGTCGAAGACCAATGTACGTGACGTCATTACCAATGCAGACCGCCAGCATACACCAGGTACGTGTCTCACACCTCTCTCATCACCCCCTGTCTCCCCTCCGCATGCGCCTCCTACCGGAAGACCACCGTCGCATCACCTGCCAACGTATGTGCAGCCGGGCTATGGCCGCCGTGCGCCCGCTGCCACCGCAGCGCCCTCTCACCTCCAAGCACCCGCGTGTGCCCCAGCCTGCCTGCTTAGCGCAGCATCGCACCGCAAAGCAGCAGTGTGGCCGCATTGCCTGCTCAGGCCAGAATACCGTGCCCCTGGGCTCTCACTTTCTTATATGGAAAGTAAGCCTGCCGTTGGCTGTCCAAAGTGGCCTGGCGTGGCCTGGCGCACGTGTAGGGGCCCAGTAGCTTCGAGCTGGCCCAAAGTGTCTGTGCCCAGGCCCAGTTTCAGCTACTGGCCTGGGTCTCGTGCAGTTAGGCACGTCCAGTAGCCCTCCCAGGCTACAAGTGTTCGGCGCGATCTCATTGGCCCGCGGCTTGTGTGTGACACAGGAGCTGCTTTCTCAAGCAGCTGGTGTGCTGCAACTGTCTGATACCCCGCATACGAAATGTCGAAAATAGACCTCACGTGGATATGCCTACCCACCTTCACTCAGGGCGGGCATGAGGCTTGCTGGGGCCCTAAGCCCAGAACGTTTGCATGCCCCTGAAGGGCCTTTCCGGGGCTCAGTCCTCACAGAAGCCTCAAGTGGTGTGTTATTTCATTCTAGATAAAGCTGTGCTGTTCTCTTGTTCTTACCCTTCTTCTGCTCATTCATAGTCTTCTTCTGTGACTCTATTGCTCTCTCCTGCCAAGTTGTCATGCATTTGAGAAAAAGGCAGGTTCATGCATGATGATGAGGATGATGTGAGGCATTGTGAGCAGAGATAGGCAAGAAGGGTGATGGTTGCACAAAGTCCAACGATTTTTTTAATGTAAAGATGTGTTCTATGCGATAGCAAAGCCTAATACATCTCTCACTATTGTGTTGTGTATGTAATATATATCGTCATGTTCGTTTTCTTTTCTTTTGTTCTTCGTTATTATATTAGTTTATACTACTTTCTAGTTATCTTCATCTAATGTTCATATGATGTTTTTTACTATTTAGTTTATATACTGTTTTATGCTTTTTTTTTCTTTAATATTTATTTTATTGAACTTTATTCTCATTTTTATACTTCTATTTGCTTTTCCTTTTAAAATATGAAAGTGATTAGGTCTATATGTATTATGTATGCCTCTATAACCTTATGGTTTATTTCCTTCCTTTCAGTCCACCAGCGCAGATCTGTAAGTGGAACAAGAGAGTGGACGCAAGAGCGTCACCGAGGCCGAGAGCACACCGATGTCACAAGCACAACATGCACACGTGAACACGTAGTAGTCATAGGCCAAAACCCAACGAGGGGCGAGTCAACGATTAAAATAGGAAATATTAAACATTCCGTCGTCAGCATCACTCCACTCCACAGCTAGGCAAGCCCAAGCTCCCTCCACTCACAGCTAGGCCGAAGCCCAAGCTCCCTCCATCGCCAGATCTTCAACTCGTCCCTACTACCTTGATACTGTCAACGTTCTGGCGTAGTCCCCAACGCGTTTCTGTCGGCGCCAGAACCGACTTCTTCAGCTGGCGGCACCTCCTTGCTATGTGAGCGACGGTCAACCATTATAAGGTTGCCGCCGCTGCTAACTCTATCCTAGGTTCCGGTACCTTTCCCATTCCGGGGGTGTTCTCATGATAAACCTTCCCAAAGTCCCAGTAAAAAACTCACGCAGGTACGCCAAAAGCCTCAGTTCTCTTCCCAGTGACAACAGGGGTAATTCCGCTAGTTCCACAGTCAATGTGCAGGATCGAATCCGAGCCAACGGACTGTTCACTACGGCTTTTTTCTGTTTTTTATCAGCGTACGACCCATAGCTTTGAATTGACCAGTAGGAGAATTCTTCGGACCAAACATTGTCCTCATTTTACCCCCTATATCTGACTTTGACCCTGTTTGGAAAATTGCAGACTTTTAGCTCACATCCCAGGAACCCCCAGACCCCTTCCCCCAGATCCGTCCTTTTTAAGTTCTTGTCGTAGATACCCGTCAATTTCTCAATTACCTTTCCCGCCCTCTGCCTCCCCTGCACAGAGCTTCCTTCCCATACAAATATAGATACGCCGTCCACTAATCTTATGCCCTGTACCAAGTTCCTATCCCTCCCTAATGAACCCAAAAAGCATACCTCATTATAGATGCATAATAGGCAGGCCAGCGGCGGGCTGCTGCTCTTGCCCATAGGTATTCCCATACCTTGTCTCAGGATCCTTCCTGCCGCCACCAAGTAGGTATGGTCCAATTCGTATTCCACAAAGTCCTTTATCTGATCCACACTCACAAACATCCATTCTTCCCCTCGCTGTTTTGCAAAGGAAAATCCTTTCCCTCTTCTCCTGACAAACACTCCTTCTCTTCCCTTTCTCCTCATAGCTCCTGCCAGCCATCGGACTGCCTCCAGAATCGAAGCATGTGGCAACTCATTGAACATTTCCTAAATATCAAACAAGAAGCCTTTAATGCATCCCCCCTTCCCTTTCTTTTGTGCCCAATTCGTAGCTTTATCCACCCTTCCTTTCAAATCCCCTACAGATCGCAAGTTGAAGTGACTGGAGACTGCTAACAACAATGTCATAGCGTTCAGTGCCCTTGCAATTCTTCTTCCCGCCTGCTTTGATGGTTCAGAATAGGACGGCGTAATCGGTCTGAATTTACCGAAGTCCTTGCTCTTCGGGACCACTTAGGCATTCCCCAATCGTCCTTTCCCGTCCCATCTCCCTATCCTATCAAACCCTTCCTCCTGATAAATACTTTTACGCAAGCACTTCCCCCTCATTCCCCAATGCAACCTCAAAGTTTTCCTTTCCCCAGAACATATCCCGCATCCCATCAGCATAGACCTTTGGACACATAATCAGAGTCTCCCCCTCATTTTTATCAAGCGGGACACGCACAAAGTTCACCAACAACTTTTTCCATAATTCCACACAGTCAGATAGATTTTCCTGACTCAAGTCCTCATCAGATCTCACCAACACCGCTCCCACTTCACTCGGTGTTACCCATCTTGATAACCCGTATTGCAAGAAGGCATCATTAATCTCCCTTACTACTCCCTTTACAAGTCCCGTAACTTCCTTCCTTTTTTTTTTCCTGGCTCCTGCCATTCTGGGGAGCAACAGTCCGGTTCCTATTCCCCCGGCAAGTCATAATTGATTACAAAAAGTACTCACACACCCACCTCCCCATGATGGGTGGAAGGTCCGAGTGGGCGGCATTGATTACTTCCCTAAGGAAGGATATACCACCCCTCCCCCCTGCCTAAGTTAGCCTATTCTACGTCATCCAGCAGTTTAACTCGTAAGCCCGGCATATTCTTTCCTCTCAGACCTTTCCTTAAGAGCCTGCCATGTCATACATGAATTTCTAGAAAGACCGGTATTGTCTCCGCTGTTTACTATGTCTTTTCCTCTCAGATTACCCCTAGTAACCTGTCGTATAATTCATGAATATCAAGAAACGACCTTAGCACCCTCCTTGTATTGGAATGTGGTTCCTATTGTTCCCCTATGCCATAACTACATTTGTATTCCCTTGACTTGTGCCAGACGTAGCTTGAATCTCTCTTTCCGGCAATATTTTTCGAGTGTTATCTCCTTAAGCCCTAAACCCTACTTCCTTAAACCTTTAAACCTACCTGTATTC